AACCAACGCACATCATAACCAAATGGCTGAAAGCCACTGATAAAATCTTAGAAGCACCTAGAGGAGAAAAAGACATGAACAAGAAACAAAGGCAGAGATGACTGCAAAATTTTCATCAGAAATAATGCGAGCCTGAAGACGATGGAAGAACATCTTCAAAGTAATGAAAGAAAACCCGTCACCCTAAAACTTTATATCCAGCAAAAGTATCCCTCAAAACTGAAGACAAAATACAGATATTTTCAGCAGACCAGAGCTGAAACTTTCCTTGGGGTACCTGCAATAAAATAAATGATAAAGCACATTATTCAGGTCGCAGGAAGCAAAATGTAAGCTTGGGCCAGAAATAGTAAATATGTGGGTAAATGTAAAAGCCTCTTTCTTCTAATGTTAAAATTTCATTAAAAGATAACTGTTTAGGGGCGCCTGGGTGGCTCAGTGGGTTGGGTATCTGCCTTCAGCTCAGGTCATGATCCCAGGGTCCTAGGATGGAGCCCTATGTTCTGCTCCCTGCTCAGCAGGGAGGCTGCTTCTCCCTCTGCCTCTGCCCCCCCACCCCGCTTATTCGACCATGCACTCTCTCTCTCAAGTAAATAAATAAAATCTTTAAAATAAAAAAAGTAACTGTTTAAAGTAAAAATAATTATGGTATGGCCATTAGAACATATTTAACAGTAAAAATGCACAACAAAGGACAAAGAAAGGATGGGCAGGGGACATGAAAGAATACTGCAAATTTCTTACATTGTATGTGAAAGGAGACTAGGACATATACACACTATAAAATGGAAAGCAACAGACTAAACAAATAGATACAGCAAATAGGAAAATAGGGGAGATAAAATGAAGTACCAAAAACTACTGAACCCAAAAGAAGTCAGGAAAATGGGGATAAAGAACAGATGACCAACAGAAAACAGCAGGATGGGAGTTCTAAAATCAGCCATACAGGGACGCGTGGGTGGTTCAGTCAGTTAAGCTTCTGCCTTTGGCTCAGGTCATGATCCCAGTGTCCTGGGATGGAGCCCCATGTCAGCCTCTCCGCTCGGTCGGGAGCCTGCCTTTCCCTCTCTCTCTGTAGCTCCCTCTCTTTGTGCTTGCTCTCTCTCCCAATCAAAAAAATCTTTTAAAAAATAAATAAAATCAGCCATATCAATATTGAAAGTAAACAGATGAAGTTCACCAGTTAAAATACTACTTACCATACTGGATGAAAAAGTAAGACCCAGCTGTAAGCTGTCTCCAAGAAATACACTTTAAATATACTGACATACATAGGTTAAAAAAAAAAAAAAAAAGAACAATTATACCCTGGAAGCACTAATCATAAACCCGAAACATACGCATTATATATCAGACACAGTGGATTTTGGGTTTAAAAAAAAATACCAGAGATAAACATAGGGTCATCAAAAAACCAACAATTTTAAGTACTTATGTACCCAAAACCAGAGCTGCAAAGCACATAAAAGTTGACAACATTGAAGGAGAAAAAGACAAACCTACAATTATAACTAGTGAGTTCAACACTCCTTTCTCAATGACCGGAAAGTAGAAAGAAAATCAGGAAAGAAAGAGGAAACTTGAACAAGCAAACCAGACAATGTGACCTAAGTGCCATGTGTGGAATACTCATATCCAAACAATCGCATAACACAAATGCTTTTCAAGGGCACATGGAACATTCACCAAGATAAGCCATCATTTGGGCCATAAAACAAGTCCTGAATTTAAAAATGTTAATATACTGAGTATGTTGTCCGATTACATAATAGAATTAAATTAGGGGGGCGCCTGGGTCGCTCAGTTGGTTAAGCGACTGCCTTCGGCTCAGGTCATGATCCTGGAGTCCCTGGATCGAGTCCCGCATCGGGCTCCCTGCTTGGCAGGGAGTCTGCTTCTCCCTCTGACCCTCCCCCCTCTCATGTGCTCTCTCTCTCTCAAATAAATAAAATCTTAAAAAAAAAAAATTAAATTAGGAATTAGTAATAAAAATATATTTGAAAAATGCCCCAAGTATTTGGAAATTAAACAGACTTCTATATAAGTCATAGTCAAAATCACAAGAAATCAGAAAATACTTTTTCAGGGGCACCTGGGTGGCTCAGTCAGTTAAGTGCCTGACTCTTGATTTCAGCTCAGGTCATGATCTCAGGGTTGTGAGATTGAGCCCTGCAACAAGCTCTGCCTGGGTGTGGAGCCTGCTAAAATTCTCTCTCTCCCTCTGTCCCTCCCCACCCCCACCCCCCACTGCATGCTCTCTCTTCCATAAGAAAGAAACGAAGAAAGAAATCAGAAAATACCTTTTCCTGAATGATTATGAAAACAACATATAAAAAATTATGGAATGCAGCTAATGCAGTGCTACAAGGAATTAAAAGCTTTTAAGTGTTTATATGAGAAAAGAAAAAAAGCCTAAAACTAATGATATAAGCTGCCACTTGAATAAGCGAGAAAAGGAAAGGGGAAATTAGCTCCAAGTGGAGGGAAAAAAATAAAATGATTGTTTCAATGAAATAGAAAATGGACAAATAGAGAAAAATCAAGGAAAATGAAAGCTACTTCTTTATTTTTTTTTTTTCAAGATTTTATTTGTCAGAGAGAGAGACAGCACAAGCAGGGGGAGCAGAGGAAGGAGAGGGAGAAGCAGACTCCCCGCCGAGCAAGGAGCCCGATGCAGGACTCGATCTCAGGACCCTGGGGTCATGACCTGAGCCGAAGGCAGACGCTTAACCGACTGAGCCACCCAGGCGTCCCAAGCTACTTCTTTAGAAGCAGCAATCACATTGGTAAATCTCTGGTTAGACTGATGAAAGAACAGAAGGAAGACAGAGATCACCAATACCAGGAAGAGGGAAATTCATTTAAAATATAACTAATTAAAACAGAATGTAAAATAGCACAAAATATAAAAATGGAATGTTTTGAACTTTATGCCAATAGCTTATTAGATAAAATAAGTAATTCCTTGAAAGATAAGCATGTTACCAAAGTTACCAAAATTGGCACAAGAATGGAAGAATCTGGTGTTATCTATTAGAAAAATTGAATTTGTAATTTTCTAACAAAGAAATCCCCAGGGTTTCACCAGTGAAATTTATCAAACATTTAAAGAAGAAATAATAGGGGCGACTGGGTGGCTCAGTCGTTAAGCGTCTGCCTTCAGCCCGGGTCATGGTCCCGGGGTCCTGGGATCGAGCCCCGCATTGGGCTCTCTGCTTGGCAGGAAGCCTGCTTCTCCCTCTCCCACTCCCCCTGCTTGTGTTCCCTCTCTTGCGGTGTCTCCGTCAAATAAAATAATATCTTTTTTTTTTTAAGATTTTATTTATTTATTTGACAGAGAGAGAGAGAGCACAAGTGGGCAGAGTGGCAGGCAGAGGAGAGGGAGAAGCAGGCTCTCTGGTGAGCAGGGAGCCCGATGCGGGGTTTGATCCCAGGACACTGGGATCATGACCTGAGCCGAAGGCAGCTGCTTAACCAACTGAGCCACCCAGGCACCCCAAAATAAAATCTTTTTAAAAAAATTTAAAAAATAAGGAGGAAATAATATTATTACACAAACAACTTCAGAAAAAAGATGTGGGCAGACCAAGTCTATATAAATTAGAAAGGAAAAAGTAAAATTCTTTGACTATCTGCCTAGGAAATGCTAAAGAATCTGGAAATACAGGGGCGCCTGGGTGGCTCAGTCTGTTAAGCGTCTGGCTCTTGATTTCGGCTCAGGTCATGACCTGAGGGTCGTGGGTTCAAGCCCTGTGTCAGGCTCCACACTCAGCAGGGAGTCTGCTTGATTCTCTCCAGGGGCGCCTGTGGGGCTCGGCTGGTTAAGTGTCTGTCTTTGGCTCAGGATATGGTCCCGGGATCCTGGGATCCAGCCCCAAGTAGGGCTCCCTGCTCAGCGGGGAGTCTGCTCCTCCCTATCCCTCTGCTTGAGCTCGCTCTCTCTCTCATAAATAAAATTAAAAAAAAAAAAAAAAGATTCTCTCTCCCTCTGCCCTTCCCGTCACTTACATTCTTTAAATAAATCTAAAAAAAAAAAAAAAAAGAATCTAGAAATTCTAAAGATTAGTGGAACTAATAAGTGAATCCATCTAGGTTGCAGGATACAAGGTCAACAAGCCAAAATCAAATGTTTTCTACACACTAGCAGTAACAACTGGAAAACAGCTTTTTAAAAATCTAGACATAATTCAAGAAGTAAAAACTATAAAAATTTTTGTGGACTTAAAAATGTTTTTAAATCTTACCTTCAAAAGATACCATTAAGAAAACAGAGATTCTCTCCCTCTCCCACTGCCCCTCCCCCCTAAAAGAAAATGAAAAAGGAAGCCAAAGACTAAAAGTATTCATAATGAAAACATATTTGGAAAAAGACTTTCATCTATGAAATAGAAGAGTCTTACAAGTCAGTAATAAGAAGACAAACCACCACATGGGGCACCTGGGTGGTCAGTCAAGTTAAGTGTCTGCCTTTGGTTCAGGTCATGATCCCAGGGTCCTGGGATCAAGCCTGCATCGGGCTCCTTGCTCAGCAGGGAGACTGTTTCTCCCTGTCCCTCTGCTGGCCACTCCCCCCTGCTTGAGCTCTCTGTCAAATAAATAAAATCTTAAAAAGAAAAAAAAAAAAAGACAAACCACCCAATTTAAAAGTGGGCAGGAGATGTAAAGACACATCACAAAAGATGAGGCAAAATGGCAATATGCACATGAGAAGGTGCTCAACACCATCACTGAGCAGACAAATACAAATTAGAAACACACAGAGACACCATCACACCTAACTAGGGTGGATTATATTTCAGACAAGTTACAATATCAAGCGTTGGCAAGGGATGTGCAGCAACAGGAACAGACATATTGTGGGAGGAGTGTAAAATGGTACAACCACTACAGAGAATTTTTGGCAATTTCTTATAAAGTTAAAAACACACTTATAACCCAGAAATTAAATTCCTATGCATTAACCCAAGTGAAATAAAGAGGCATGTCCAAATAAATACTTTTACACAAATGCTCATAGCAGTTTTATTCATAAAAGCCAAATCTGGAAACCCAAATTTCTATCAACAGGTGGATGATTAACAAAGGTTTGTCCATACAATGGAACACTACTCAGCAGAGAGATACCCAAACACATAACTACTTGGTTGAGTCTTTAAAACATGCCAAAGCAAAAGAAGTCAAGACACACAGAATTACATACTGTATGGGTCCATTTATGTGATGCCCCACAAGCAAAACTAATCTACACTGACCCAAAGCAGGTACTTGGGACTAGGGTGGGATTAACTGGGAAAGGGCAAAAGGAACATGTTTGGGTGATAAGAATGTTATTTTTCTTTATTCTATTGGTGGTTACACAGGTATATGGTTTCTCAAAGCTCTGTACACTTTAAATAGGTGTTTTACTGTATGGAAACTGGACGTCACCAAAGTTGATTGAAATGGTCTGGTAATATCTCTTCTGCACCATTTGAAACATCTCTAGTAATGAGGAATTTTCCAGAAAATGTAGTACTGTATGCCCCTCTTTATCACTTACCCCCTGAAGGCTAGTGTTGCTGGAATTTAAGAACTCAGAATATGCCCTCACAGGCAAAAAAACTGGTTCATGTCATTTCAAAACTGGTTGTTTTGGTTAATGTTCAGAGAAAAGAAAATCAGAGGCAGCAGCTGAAAGTTGGGTAGACCATTATGTACTGTGTATTACAGCTCCCCAAAGAGGTGTCTGCTGTACCTTATCTGCAGATTCCTCTCCCAGGTCATCCTCTTCTCTAGCTGCCATGGCTCTTTCTCAGTTCTGGGGTCACCTCTTCTGTGAAGCCGGCCCAGATCCTCCACACCAAATTAGTCCCCTCCTTACCTATGCTCCTACACAATGTGGAACTTCTTCAGCACTTAGCTCTGTGCAGTGAACTTTGTCTTCTCCATCAGACCCAAAAATTTCATCTGTTTCCTAAGTGTTCAGCCCTGGTCCTTCTAGATCAATACATATTCAGATAAATGACAAAGTGAGCCAGAAAGCGGGGAAAGTGACCAGAAGAGGTCAATCATGGAACTGCTGAGACAGAAAACCTTGAGCAGTGCACTGGGACTGTGTGCCCCTTGAGTGGATTAGAAAGATATGCAGGCGACCAGGTGAAGGCAACACTCCCCAAAAGCAAGTAGACGGTCATGGGTGAGCTCTAAAGGCATAAATACGAGGCGTGCTAGTCTTCCACTAGCTACTGCTTACAACTTCTGAGTTACATATAGGCAGAAGACATCAACAGGGCTGAGAGAAGATATTTCCAGCAGACCAGTAAATTATACTGTTAGAAAACAACAAAATCCAAAAATTTAAACTACAGCAGTACAAAGCAAGAGAAGAGCCAATTACACACAGATTTGGGTGTGCTTTTTATTGCCTTGCACTAGGTACCAGGGACACATAATCAACTGTGACCATGTCCTGAAGGAATTAGTAGTGTAATAATGAAAGAGATGGTAAATAAAAACATAATTTTGATATACCGAAGTGAGTGCAGTAACAGAAGTGCTCATAGCAACACAAGCACAGAGGGGTAACTGGTTGAGCCTGACATGATGCCTGAGATGGGTCTTGACTCCTGATGAGGAATTATCCAGGTGTGGAGTGGAGAGCATTCAAACAAGGACAAAGAGAAGGATGCAGGCGCAGCTTGGGTTAAGTGGGAATGTCAAGCAGTTAGTGTTGCTGCAGCGCCAGCCACGTGGCAGGAGATTAAGCAGTGGGAGATGAAACGCCAGGAAGCAAAAGGCCTTAGAAAGCAGGACCGGGAGCTTGGAAATTATCCTAAGGACAATCGGGAACCAACTTGTGGTTTTAAATAACAAAGGTCTTTCTCCAACTTGCCTTTTTGATAGCTCAAAACTTACCACGTGATATTCTTTTTTTAAGTATTAAGACACATAGTTCTGCTTTAAAAAGGATTTTTAACTTGGGTGAATTGTAATTGTGCAATAACATATAGAAAGCTTGAGACCTAGCCCATCCCCCAGCATTGTTCCAGCTCAAAGCCAGCTGTCCAGTCACGTGGCTCTTCTGATGTCACATGTTCGTAGTGGAGGACAGCACCCCAGTGCTGCTGCACAGTGGTGGGTGACAGCCCACTCTGAAAGCAGCCCTGCCTAGGACTTTGGAAAACGCTGACACCTCCAAAATCATGAGTTAGGACTCATTCCACTCCCTCCTAAATATCACTCACTGAGTTGGAGAGTCGTTATTTTATAAGTTATCTATATGTTCCCCCTGACCTGCAGACTTCTCACCCAAATGTATGGTGGTCTTACTCAAAGGAAGTCCTTCTTGGTGAACACCTTGATTATTTTTAAAGTTTGGGGTTGAGTTGAAGTCTTTCCCATACTGACTACATTCATAGAGTTTCTCTTCAGTATGAATTTTCTGGTGTTGAAGGAAGTTTGACCTCTGAATAAAGCCTTTCCCACAGTAACTACATACATAAGGCTTTTCTCCGGTATGAATAATCTGATGTAGAAGCAGCTTGGAACTCTGAATGAAAGCTTTCCCACAGTCCTTACATTCAAAAGGCCTATCCCCAGTGTGGATTTTCTGATGTTCAGTGAGATGGGCTTTCTGGAGAAAAGCTTTCCCACATTCCTTACATTCATACACTCTCTCTCCAGTGTGGATTTTCTGGTGTCGAATAAGGTACGAACTCAAAAAGAAAGCTTTCCCACATTCGTTACATTCATAGAGTTTCTCTCCAGTGTGAATTCTCTGATGCTGGGTAAAGTTTGATGTCTGGCTGAAGCGCTTCCCACACTCATTGCACACATAAGGCCTTTCCCCAGTATGGATCCTCTGATGTTGAATAAGCTTTGAACTCCGAATAAAGGCTTTCCCACATTCATTACATTCAAAGGGCCTCTCTCCAGTGTGAATTCTCTGATGTTCAATGAGGTCTGAGCGATGACGGAAGGCCTTCCCACACTCCTTACATTCATACTGTTTCACTTCTGTGTGGATCTGATAATGTCGAATAAGGCTTGAGCTCCTAATGAAGGATTTTCCACACTCATTACACTCATAAGGTCTTTCTCCTGTGTGAATTCTCTGATGGCGAATAAGCAAGGAGCTCTGGCTGAAGCCTTTCCCACACTCCTTGCATTCGAAAGGCCTCTCCCGGGTATGAATTCGCTGGTGCCGAACCAGGTCTGAGCTGTGATGGAAGGCTCTCCCACACTGCATGCATCGGAATGGCTTTCCTCCTGCGTGGGCTCTCTGGTGCTCAGCGAGGTCTGCATAGTGAATGAAGTCCTTTCCACACATGTTGCACACATAGAGTCTTTCTCCGGTGTGAGCTCTCTGATGCTCAGCAAGGTGGGAGCTCTGGCTGAAGCTTTTCCCACACTGCTCACATCTGTAAGGTTTCTCCCCAGCATGAGAAATCTGATGTCTAACTAGGTCCGAGTTAAATGTAAAGCTTTTGCCACAAATCTCACACTGGTGGGCTTCCCCTTCCACAAGCTCTCTCTGGAGGAGAAGGAGGTTTGAGCTCAGAACTGGGCTTTCTCCTGATTTACTGCCCACCCGAGCTGCCTCTCCTGCTTGGATCTTCCAATGGGTAACCGTCACCCCCCTGAAACTGCCCTCCTGAGGGGGGCAGCTCCGCAGGCTCTGCCCTTCTGGGTTTCCCAACAGCCCCGCTAATCTGGGTTCAGGGAATGCCCCAGACTCAGAGGCAGGGGGCTCCATCACTGTGAGTGTTTCGGACATAGTCTTGGGCAGATTTCCATCCTCAGAAATTCAGGCTCCCGAGTCACCTTCTTGTCACAAGTTTCTAGGAAATAAAAGAGAATAATATCATCTTTTCCCTTTGTCAACAGACAGGAATCTGCTGGAGCAGGTGGGGGACAAAACACATCCAAAGAGTGGGAAAAAGGACTATTTTCTCTGCCCACACTCTTTACCCCAGTGTGCATCTCAACCACCTACCTCAACCACTTTAGAAGGCTTCTCTGGGGCTCCACCTCCAACACCCAACTCCAGGGACAGAGTGGCTGGGTGGCAGATGGGGAAGGATGTAGCTTGGACTCTTAAAAAATTAAGACATATTTCCAAAGAAACACAAATGTTATGATCTTGCCACCTCTTCATTGTCCTCCTTTCCCTTTGTACCCAGCTTAGATCCCATGTTCTATGGTACTATGTTTATTTGGGGTTATATATTATAATCATGCTAACTCCCCCTGCCCTTCCTCTATCATCCCTGCATGGGAAAACCCAACTTGGGTTAAATTCCACTTGCTTCCCATTCTGTGTCTGTATCTATGCCAACTGAGCTCTCTCTACATTTACAAAGCCTTGATTAATGGGGCCCTGAGAGCCACTGGCAATGTCTACACTTTCCTCCTTCTCCTATAAGATCACCCCTGCTTTGTCCTCTCTTCTCAAATGCCCAATACTCCCTCTTCCTTCTCAGCTGATGCCCTTATCTCAATGAGAGAACAGAAGAAATGAGATGAGGGGCGCCTGGGTGGCTCAGTCATTAAGCGCCTGCCTTCGGCTCAGGTCATGATCCCAGAGTCCTGGGATGGAGCCCTGCGTGGGGCTCCCTGCTCAGAGGAGAGCCTGCTTCTCTCTCTCCCACTCTCCCTGCTTGTGTTCCCTCTCTCGCTGTCGCTCTCTGTCAAATAAATAATCTTAAAAAAAAAAAAATGAGATAAGAACGTCAAATTTCTCCTGCCCAATCTGCCAACCTACCTGTCCATACCCTCCCTCCTTACATGTGCTACACTGTCCTTGATCCAATCTAGGGTGAACACCTCCACCTGGGCACTAAAACCCACCCCTCTCATCCACTCAACGGCACCAAGCCTTCTCTGTACAAGTCTAGAGCTGGAATGTTCACAGCATTTATATCCACCAAAATAACCAACAGAGGGATGGGCAGATTGAAGAGTACTCTACCAGAAACTAATATGTAGCAATGAAGAATTGCTATACAAAGGCAAAGATGAATCTCACAGATGAAATGTTCAGCAGAAGCTAGGCACAAAAGAGTTCATATTGCATGATTCTGTTCACATCGAGTTAAAAAACAGACAAAAGCAATCCATGGTGGGAGAACTGAGACACTGCTGACCTTTAGGAGAAGATAAGTACTGGCAGGGAGTGCTGGTGATCTACAAGGCACTCTGAATCCCACTGGTGTGTCACTGTGGAAAAGCTCGTTCAGTCAGGGGTTATTTAACCTTACAGTTGCCAAGGTGCTATGCCCAGCTCCCCTGCTCAGAGTGATGCCTACCCCCACCCTCCACCCCACTGGGAACCACCTGTAGGCAGGACTCTGCCTTCCCCAAGGTCTGCCCCTCCCCCTGAATGCCCACTCTTGGCTGTCCATCACTGCAGGACAATGCACCACAAATACAGCAGCAGAAAACAGTACGTCTGTCATCTCACACCTCTCAAGGTGTAAAGAACAACCCAGTGTGACTGGGATCCCTGTTCAGGGTCACACAGGAGTCAGCCAGGCTAAGTTCACATCTGAAGTGCTGGGAAACCTGTTCCAAACTCATTCAGGTGTCAGTAGAAACCAGTTCCCTACAACCAGAGGACTGTCCCTGACTCCTTGCCAGCTGTCAGCTGCTCTCGGCTCCTAGGGACACCTTTATCACCAAGAACAGCACATAGAACACCTCTCTGACTTCTCTTCTGCCACCAGCTACAGAAAACTGCTCTCCAAGGGCATGCATGACTAGGTTGGCCCACCTAGGGCCTTGCCACCTTACGTCAGCTGATTTGGGACCTTAATTACATCTGCAAAATCCCTCCATGGTAGCTGTGAGGTGTGTGTACCTTAGGGGCCAGGAATCTTAGAGGGCCATCTCAGATGCCTACCATACCACAGCCAATGCCTGGTCAATCACAGGAGCCTAGAGTGCCCTGGGGGCAACTCAAGTGTTATCCCAACCCCAGAGCACCACTTCCAGGGAGCTCCATCCAAGATGACCCCAAACAGGGGCGCCTGGGTGGCTCAGTCAGTAAAGCATCTGCCTTCGGCTCAGGTCATGATCCCAGGGTCCTGGGATCGAGCCCCATGTCAGGCTCCCTGCTCAGCAGGGAGCCTCTTTCTCCCTCTCCCTCTGCCAAATAAATAAAATCTTAAAAAAAAAAAAAGACCCTAAACAATCACTTCTTGCCCCAAATCTGCACCAGTAGGAAACAGACCCTGCTGTGTACCCCATGAAGGGATGCCTTCCAGACGCATTTCCAATGTGGACATCAAGGACAAGAACCTGCCCCTAAGGGCAAAGCTGGGGGTGAGGTGAAGCAGCAATGGGAGCAGAAGCAGAGGGAGTAACCAGGTAACATGTGCTCTGTGGCCCTGCCAGGGCATCCTTTCAACACGTGTTTCTCTTTTATGTGAGCTAGAACTTGCATAAAGCACACATATCTTGATGAACTCCTTGTGACACCTATTTAACCACCGCCAAGCCCACACAGAACATTTCTGTCATCTAAAAGACTCCCCCTCCATGGGCAATCACCTCTTTTATTATAGAAGAATTCTGCCCATTAAAAAAATTTCAATTGGGGCGCCTCACCAGCTCAGTCAGCAGAGCATGTGACTCTTGATCTTGGGGTTGTGAATTCAAGCTCCATGCTAGGGGTACAGCTTACTTTAAAAAATAAATAAATAAATAAATAAGTTCATTTAAACAGAATTATACAACATGTTTCTGTGCCTGCATTTTATTCATCACGTACCCATTTTTTAAAAAAGGTTTTATTTGCGAGAAAGAGTGTGCGCGGGTGCACACAGGGGGAAAGGCTGAGGGGGAAGGGAGAGGAGGAATCCCAAGCAAACTCTGCGCTGAGCACAGAGCCTGACACAGGGCCTGATCTCACAACCCTGAGATCATGACCTGAGCCAAAACCAAGAGTCAGACTCTTAATTATAACACATACCATAAAACTCACCATCTTAAAGTACACAGCTCAGTGTTTTTTGAATATTCCTAAATGCAAAACCATCACAACCATCCACTTGCAGAACATTTTCATCACTCCCCCAAATACGTATCTGCTTTAACTCAGTATTCTGCCTGGAAAGTCATCGACATTGCAGGCACCAGCAGCTCACTCTTTTCACGGATGCACAGCACACCACCGCAAGAATAGGTCACAATCTACTTCTCACTGACACCTGAGTTATCTGTGGTTTGCGGTGATGATTAAAGCTGCTGTCAACACTCCTGTACTTTGAGGGTCCTCGTTTCTGCTGGGTGCATACCTGGGAGTGACTGCTGGGTCCCAGGTCCCGGGACTGCTCACTTGAGGGGTCACCTGGTCAAGACACTCTTGCAAATTGCACGGGGAGCCAGCGCAGCTGTGGAAGGCAATTCTTCCCCTTTTTGAGGGGGCGAGTCCATACAGTCATGCTGCCTTTGGCAGGTGATGGAGACAACCTTCAGGGTGGCCGGGGCTCGTGTGAGTTTAGAGTGTGACTGTGTGAAGCTGCACCTGGTGGGAAAAGGCACACCCCACCCTCTGGGCCAGAGGAAGTACGTGGTGTGGGACAAAGAGTGGCCGGTGGGGCAGACTGTGGCAGACTGAAGACTGCCCAGAACCTCTGCTCCCTCCGAGTGACAGAAATGCCACCTAAAATATGAGGAGGCACGTGGCCGCCCAGCAAATGACTACACCTCGTGGAGTCCCCTGAAGTTAGGCGTGACCCTGTGACTGAGATCCAGCCCATGAGCCGGGACTGCAAGGGATGTGTGCAGGGCCCCTACCTCCACGTCCCTTCTCCCTCCCCACGGTGACACATGGATGAGGCAAGCAGCCAGGCTGCCAGACGGCCTTGACGGCCAGAGCCACCAGGTAGGCAAAGCGGAACAAGAAGTTAAAAACACTATTTTGAATCTCTGTCACAGCAACTTGAATAATGCTTAAGTAATACTAAGAAACAAGCGGATTACTCAGACCAAGGCTCCCAGTGATGAAAAAGAAACTGAACCCACACACCAATAACTGGCAATAAGGACAAGGAGCTGAGCACAAGTCCGTGGCAGGCATTTCTGTCCGGAAGAGATCTCCCTGGTAATTCATCTGCCAACACAGCCCCCTGGAGCAGCGACCCACTCAGTGGAGCGGTGATATGGAGCAGATGAGGCTTGCCTCCTGGCACTCACTGAGGATGTTTTTCGGAGTTAAAGGCTCAATAACTTGGCTTAAAAAAAATCTTTCTGCTGCTTATAAAAATTACTTCAGGTATTTTTTATTTTTTTAAAGATTTTATTTATTTATTTGAGAGAGAGAGAATGAGAGAGAGCACATGAGAGGGAGGAGGGGCAGAGGGAGAAGCAGACTCCCTGCCGAGCAGGGAGCCCGATGCGGGACTCGATCCCGGGACTCCAGGATCATGACCTGAGCCGAAGGCAGTCGCTTAACCAACTGAGCCACCCAGGCGCCCCACTTCAGTTATTTTTTCAAGCGATAAGGTAAATTATGCCAATTGAGAAAGCGAAAACAACAGAAAAACTGAAAAAAGAAAAATTATAAAATGACCTTTAACCCCACCACTAAGATTACCAGTGAACACTTTCCTCTGGTATCTTTTCTGCACTAGTATTTTTATGAAATCAGGACTATACCACTCAGTTTTACATCCTGTTTTACTTTTGTATCTTTTTAATCCTTAGCCATCACAAACATAAGATACACGTCATAAAAATATTTCAAATAATAAAGAAGTGTAGACAATACAGACAAAATTTAGATGATGAGAATCCCCACCAATTCAACACATTACCACTGTTAGCTGTTTTGGTAATACACATTCATTGACACTTTGCTTGAAGAAATACTTACAGAAACTTGATTTTCAAAAGTAAAAATGGGATCACACTACACTTATCCATCTGCAACCTTTCCCCCATTTATAATATATCCTGGCATCCTCAAGTTCATCCACACAGATGTTAGCCTGGTTCTGTGACCGGCACAGGGAGTCACTGAACCCCTATCCGGATCAGACACCGGAAGGAACATTCGTCCCTGCGCCTCTGGTGTCATGGCAGGCATGTGCCCTGAGGTGCTCGGCCCACCTGCCTGACCCTTTCTCCTCCCCAGAGATGGAAGGAGTTAGCAGAATAAAAAGTCTGGGCAAGTAACAGGCAGGCAGCACACAACCTGCTGCACGGGGGTGCACACTCTGCTCGGCCCCTCCAAGCCACAGGTTCAGCGGAGTGGCCCCCGAGGGGCCCCAGCAACCAGCGCTTCCGGTGAGCAGACACCAGAGTCTGTCTGATGCTCTGACCCAGCCTTTGCCCAGAAGTGAGGTGGCAGTTTGGCCATTTGCCTCATCGGTTCAGAACTCAGGAGGAGAGGTGGGGTACAACTTATTAGGTCCCCTCAAACCCCACCAGGCACAGTGCTGAGCAACTGACTCACATTGTCTCACACACTGCTCTAAACCTTCTAAGGCAGGTGTTCCCTCCGTTATTTACTCTACAGATGAGAAAATGGAGACTAAGAGAGACAGACAATTGCCCTAAGGTCACTAAACTAGTAAGAAGCAGCACTAAGGTTCAAATCCAGGCCTACCTTCCTCCAGTGCCCACTTCCCCATCGTAGATTTTTTCCCTTCCCAAGTGTCACCTGTCACAGGATCATATGGGGTATTATAAAAGTAAGCTGATAGTTTAAGCCTCACTTTTCTTAATTAAAAAAGGAAGGGGGGTAGGATGTTGGGTTTTGCTTTGGAAGTAGTATCTTATGATTTTTATGTTTGAAAGGACTGTTGTACTCCTTGCAAGCAAACTTACATGTGTCTACAAGAAAATAGCTTTAAAAAGTATGTGTCTTTTAATGGTCTTCATAGTTTTCCCCTAACTTTAGAGAGTTATACCTGGCTTTGAATAAACATTTATCTGAAGATCAGCCATCTGTCAGTTTCTGCTTAGCTCCTTGTTTTTTGTGAATTCAAACAAAATTGAATTGATATTTTTTCATTTAAAGAAACCTGACTGAGGGGTGCCTGGGTGGCTCAGTCATTAAGCGTCTGCCTTCGGCTCAGGTCATGATCCCAGGGTCCTGGGATCGAGCCCCGCATCGGGCTCCCTGCTCCGCGGGAAGCCTGCTTCTCCCTCTCCCACTCCCCCTGCTTGTGTGTGTGTTCCCTCTCTCGCTGTCTCTCACTCTGTCAAATAAATAAATAAAAATCTTAAAGAAAAAGAAAGAAAGACAGAAACCTGAATGAAATGAACAAAAGGAAGTAAAAATACACCAAGCCTGTGACCCCACAACATACGGAGCTACCATGGCCTACCTTTCTGTTACAACACAGAGAATCTGCTGGATAAAATGAAACATGAAATTGTGCAAGTACACAGCTGATGCTGAGAGAGATGGGGCAATCCTCGGTGCTGGAAATGAAGTGGGATCTTAACCCGGAGTGGGACCCTGTGAACTTTGGGATGACAAGTGGGGGGTGTGCACGACATGGGCACTAGGAGCTTTTTCTCCCGAGCACTGGTAAAGGACTCACAGGCTGGCCTGAGTCCCTGTCTGTGGCTTACAGCCTTGAGGAAGCAGGAAGGTTGCTGAGCTTCACCCTTGGGAATAACAAGAGCAAAGGGCACCTGAGTGAAACACAAACCAGAGCTGCACGAGAATCTGCACCTGCTCCTGCCAGAGCAGGGATGAAGGGCACTGAGAACCTGGTGTGTGCCAGTCACTGGGCAAGGTGTCTCGTTTTCTCATGTTCTCCTCACAACTATCCATGAGGTCCAGGGAGGTGACTTGCTTAAGGCCAAACCAACTACTAGCTGCTGTCTGCTCCCCATCCCACCCCACGGCACTTTGGTTCCTGCTCCCAAGGATACTGACGGCCTTCGCCTCTCCTGACAAGTCCAGTGTCCTTCCACCAGTCACCTTCCGAGACCCGAGGCTGCATGGACATGCCTGACAGCTCCTTGAACCACTTCAATGGCACCGCTGGGTTCGGGGTGGGAGGCTTCCCAGACCACCCCTCCCTCTGGCTCATGAGTGTTGTCTGGGCCTTCTCAGCTCTGCCCTCTCTCCACATCATCCCCAAGACCTTTCCGGGAGTCAGGAACCCATCGCCGTCCCTCCAAGAGAGGCTGGAGCCGTGTGTGCAGGCTTGTGAAAGAGCAGCAGTCCCTCCCCCCAGCCCCTCTCTCCACCTGCCCTAAGAGAGACGCTGTGGATACCGCTGGCATTAGCATACTGTTAGAATGCTGTGTCTGTAACGCGGAGAAAGGCTCCATCTGTGCGGATAGGGAGCAAGGTACCACTGAAGCCTGGGGTTCACGGGCATCGCAGATCCTAGGTGGGCAGAAGGCAGTTATTCCCATCACCCGTCGGGACTGGGCCCCAGGGGAGAGACGTGCTGCAGGGTGGTGACGAGCACAAGCCTACAGACGAACGGCCCGAGCTCCAAGCCTGCCTCCACGAACCCTCCTGGGGAACCTCCAGCCGAAGATCCCGGCGCCATGACGTAACCGGTGTGAGGGGGCACCAGGCCCCCGACCTCGGCGGACGCATCCCCTGGGACTGACAAAGACTTCCAGGGGAACGGGAGCCTTAGGACAGCGCCACAGCGGCGCAGCCGGCCCCTCTCGCGCCCGAGAGTTCTTCAGGCCCAAGGCGTGCAGGGAAGTCTATCCCCCCAGTTCCTCCCCACCGCACCCGCACCGGGGCACCGGGGCGGCTCCGCCCCTCCTCCCGCGCCGGGGGCTTCAGACCCCGGCCCCGCTGCCGAGGCCGTCTGGAGCGCTCCCCCGGGCTCCAGAGAAAGCAGGCGGCCCGCAGCAAACAGCAGCACTGCCCGCGCCCGCACTCGTCACCTCGGCCCGCAGCCCAGCCCGGAGGGGCCGCGAGCACAGTGCGACGCCGGGCGCTGGAGCCAGGCGCTCCGCGGCGTGGGTGCGCGTCCCCGGGCGCCCCCCGGGGAGGGACGGTGCGGGGCAGGCCGCGCCCGCGACCCCCGCCCGCCCGCCCGCGCGACCCCGCCGCCCCGCCCGCCCGCGGCCGGGAACGGGCCACTCACCGGGACGCCCGCGGCGAAACGCCCGCCCGCCGACAAAGCCCGCACCGCCGCCCACACGCCGCGGCCGGAAGTCGGCCGAGGCCCCGCCCCGACAGCTTCCGGGGCCGCTCTAGGCGCCCCGGGCCGCCGGCCTCTCGGTGGTTCGGGCTTCCGCCGGCCGGGGTGCGGCCTCCGCGCTGCGGCGGCCGCAGTGCCGCCGGTGCCCGAGCGGACGTGCGCGCGCGCGGTCTCGCCTCCCGGAGCTGCCGGTGCCGCCGGGCGGAGCTCGACGGGGCGGGTGGGGCCCCGGCCGGCGGAGGCTCTCTGAGCGGCTGGCGGGCCTGCGAGCCGCCCGGGGCCGCCCCTCCGCCGGGGAGCCGGCTCGGGGCCTCCTGTCCCCGCCGCTGGCGCCGTCGGCTGGGGCGTTCCGTCCACAGCCCCGCGGGAGGCCCTCGCCCGCCGCGCTTTGCAGGAGGGGCCGAAGCAGCAGTCGGGGCTCGGAGGCGAGCTCGCACAGCTAGTGGGCGGCCAGCCGACCGCCCCTGGGGCCCCGCCCTCACCCTGGCCGTGCGGCTGGTCCCGGGGGGGCAGAAGAAGCCTCCGGAGACGGGCCCCCCGCGGCGGGGCGGCTCGGTCGGAACTCCCGCGCTCCCGGTCCGCACCTGCGGGCGATGCACGGGACCCTCTGGACGACTCCGGGCCCTGGCGGCCAAGGCAGAGCCATGGCAGGAGCGAGCAGGAGCGAGAGACCCCCGCCCCCCCCCGGTCCTCGGGGCCGGCTCGGCGGCCCGCGCCACCCTCCCGGCTCCCGTGCGTGTGCGGCCACACTGGGCGTCGTTCCGTGCGTGCGTTTTAAGCCCCCAGGTGGCAGGTGTACCTATCCCCTCATTGTGCGGTTGGCTCTTTGTACTGAGCGTTGTTCCGAATCAGCCCGCGTTAACGCGCACACTTGGTCTGGTCCACCCACTCGAGCTGCGCTCTGTACCCCTCCTGATCAATGAACGTTGCGTTTGTTCCCCGCTTTTCTCTACTGCAAAGAATGCAAGAGAGCAGATCCTTGTACGGTTTTCCCACGTCCGAGCAAGGATTCCTCTAGGCGACGGGCCCAGAGACGGGATTAACTAAGCATTGTAGCTTAACATGTTGCCGGGTTTGCTTTTCAGCGACTGTCATAATTGATACCCCGGCTACGGTGGTGGCAGAGCTCGTTTCCCTGCATCTTCACCAGCACTTAGT